TCCTGATCTCAAGTTATCCTCCTGCCCCGGCTTCCCAAAGTGCTGGGATTACAGGCATGAGCCACCATGCTCATGCCTGTATTTTTACTTTTTGAGGGGAGGGACAGCAACTGGGGATTTACTTAAGAAGCTGATGATAGGCTAACGACATTCTCCCTCAGAAAAATGCATGTACAAAACATGACTTATAATTTTATAAAATACATAGGCCCCTAGCAGCCTATTATAGACACTGGCTAAGAATCTGAAAGGGTACAGGTGTGGAAATCCTGGGTCAAGCAACAAGCCACAGCCAAGATTTTAAAGGCAGCTGAGAGTTGACTGCTTAGAGGCAATTAAGAAACTGAGAATCTTGCTGAGATAAAGTCGTAACTACTTAATCCAATACTTTTAAGTTTCACATCTTACCAAATCAACAAATGCATGAAAGATTTAAGTAATGGTCTCCTGAGCAAAGCATCTACATAAAATACAGCATTCTGAATGAGGAAATTAGGTAAAACAGAAGGACACAGAACACAAACATAATGAAATTTTCCCGGTTAAGGAATCCGAGTGTCACAAATAAGCACATACCAGACAGTACCATGAAACCCAGCCTACCCAAATTCATTTTATCATTTTAAAAAACCACAAAACGCAGTTTATAATTGGTATATTTCTGTCTTGGTCTACAAACAAAATACCTTACAATGAGTAACTTATAAATACAGTTTGGGAGGCTAGGAAGTCCAAGATGAAGGCACCAGCAGATCGTGTGCCTGGTGAGGGTCCATCCTTTGCTTCAAAGATGGTCCCTTGTTGCTAAACTCTCACACAGTAGAAGGGGACCGAGTGACCCCTTCAACCTTTTTTGAGAGCACTAATCCCATTCATGACTTAATCATGAGAGCCCCTGTGACTTAATCACCTCCTAAAGGCCCATCTCTTAATACTGTCATATTGGTAGTCAAGTTTCAACATATGTATTTTAGGGGGACACATTCAGACCTTAGCAATATACTAACCAACTCATTAAAAAAGAAGAAAGTGTATCTTTTTGAATGTAATAGAAAGTTATATGTTATATACAGAATGAATTGTCCTCTTAGATGCTGAATCAAATATAGAATCCTGTGGTTAATCCTTTTATGCAAATAATGACTGTTATGGATTGAACTGTACCCCTCCCAAAATTCATATTAAAGTCCTAATTACAATAGCACAGAATGCAACCTTACTTGGAAATAGGGGCATTACAGATATAATTCCTTAAGATGAAGTGATAGTGGAGTGGGATGGGCTTGCCCAATCCTATATGACTTGAGGTCCTTATAAAATGGGGAAATTTGGACACTGAGAGACACAGGGAGAATGCCATGTGAGCATGCAGGCAGAGACCAAGTGACATATCTACAAGCCAAGGAAGGCCAAAGATAACCAACAAAGAACCAGAGCTAAGAAAGCCTGGAATAGATCCTGTCTCATACCTTCAGAGGGCTCCTGGCCCTACTGGCACCTGGGTCTCAGACTTCAAGTGTGCTTGTATCAAGAAGTGGGAGACAATACATTTCTGTTGTTGAAACCACTCAGTTTGCAGTACTTTGTTACAGCAGCTCCAGCACACTCATAAAATGACTTAATATATTTTACTTTATAATAGACTTTTACATGTTATTATAAAGCAAAATGTGTATACACTATATGCATGATACAGTGAATTTTTTAAAGTGCAGATTTTGTAGAAGCTTCATATTCATTGGAAATAGCTATTTTTACCTAAGCTGCTGCCAGTTTAAAACAAGTGAAAAAAATTGACATGAATTTTGTAAAATGAAATCTCAATATGAATAAAACTCACTAAAAGTACAGTGACACACATTTGGCTTTTATTGCAGTAAAAAATACGTTATGCTAATTACATAGTAAAATATCTTTATGAACAATTAAGTAATGAAGTCCATGAAAATAAGAGGATCAATTTTTGCTATATTTATATATTCTCGTGCTGAAAGGATTTCCTCCTCTAATAAGTTTTACTTGGCATAAGCATTTTTTACCTCCAAATTGTAAATATATTGAAAATAACTGTCAGCATACTAAGACAACATCTGTGACACACTGAATCAGAAACTCCAAGTACAAACAGTAAAGTACAGTGTTTTATTAACATAAATATCATCCCTTACCAACACAAGCAAAAAAAGCTCAATTCCATAGAAAGAAACTTTTGCCTGAACAGGCGCCTTCCACTTACAAAACCAGGCTAGGTGTGGTGGCTCACAAATGTAATCCCAGCACTTTGGGAGGCTGAGGACAGATCATCCGAGGTCAGGACTTCAAGACCAGCCTGGTTAACATAGCTAAACCCTGTCTCTACTAAAAATACAAAAATTAGCTGGGCATGGTGGTAGGCACCTGTAATCATAGCTACTCTGGAGGCTGAGGCAGGAGAATTGCTTGAACCCGGGAGGTGGAGGTTGCAGTGAGCTAAGATGGTGCCATTGCACTCCAGCCTGGGTGACAACAGCAAAACTCTGTCACAAAAAAATAAATAAATAAACCTAGGCTATATCATCCAGCAAGTCAGTACTCAAAAGGAAGTAATTCTAGGTCTGAAGCTTCCTCTGCAGATTACATCAGGTTCATGGACCTGCATGGAAATAAATGGCTACAAAAGTGGGACATGATTATTTCTTTAATATTTTTGTCACATGCAAACCATAACGCAGGCTTTACATACTCTTCTAAATATCCACACAGGCAAAGAACAGTTAGCTGTGCCTTAGGCTTTCTAGTAGTGTGCTACACTTAGCTATGGATAAGAGACTGTGCTACTTCACCTTTCAAATAAAAGACTTTTCAGTAAAAGACAATGATGCAGTGATTCTGCATTTGGATTCAGTGCGATAAATGGAAACCATATCACATCACATGCTTACCTTCTCTAACCTTTTAAGTTCTTTCCTAACAAAGTTCAAATTATTTTTTTCTACACTTTAGAGCTACATAGAAATTCGAGATTTAGCTGAAATGGAGCCCTCTGACTATTTTTTAAGTTGGAAAAACTAAAAGGTCTAGCTTGGGTAACTTCCATAGCATAAAGAATAGTATTTTATACTAATAAAATTATCCTTAATGTCAATAACTATCTATTGGACACTTTTCACATGTGTCCTACACACTCATTTCTCTTCACCTCACCCCTGAGAAATGGATATTATCATCACTTAACAAGGACAGATTCAGAAGTTAAATACTCTCTCAAGGTCAGAGGCAGCAGAGGCAGGATTCAAACCTTAGCCCTTCCCACTCCAAAGTCAAGACTCCTAATCGGCTTTGACGGCACTAAGCTTTGCAAAAGAAACCTTCAGGATCAAAGTGGAAAAAAGATGTCATATTGGTAAATCCAGTGTCGAAGTACGCTACAGAGAAGTGACCAGCAGAGAAATCAAAAAGGTTAGTAATATTGAAGAAGTTATGCCAGAGAATTCCTGGGCAGCACACATGCTTGGTTCTGGGAACATGAAAGAACTTGAAGCAAACAATTATTCGAAGCCTTCCAAACTACATCAACAAAGCACTTACATTCACAAACATGACTGGTGGAGTGGTCACAGAAAACTCCAATTATAATAAAAAAGCAAGAATAATGACATTAAGAAACATTTTTACAGAACTTTTGTTAATTACCTAAGTTGATTTATATATACTTTTCTTAATTGCCTAAATTAAGGCAATTAAGTTTCTTACTTAATTACCTAAGTTGACAGATATAATTGATCCTATAAAGGCAAGTCTATGGGGACTAAGATGATGCACACGCGTGCAAACACACACACATGACGTGAATTTCATGCCGCATCTGTCACCCTAAGTTAACCAAGGTTCTGTAAAACACAACCCTCATCATTTCTGGATGTGGTTTATAACGGGGCTGCCATGTGGTAGCCTAGGAAAAACCTCATTACTTCTGAAAAATTATGAGAAAGCTCATTAATTAAGGCTAACCGATGAAAAAATATTTAACACTAAATTATAAAAAACATTTCAAGGTAAGTCATCAAAACCTTTAGCTAGAGATCCCGTAAATTTGAACCTATTTCAGAGAATAAAAAATTAGTAATCACACACATTATGTAAGAAATAGGTCACAGCGTAAGTACTCGCTTATTTTTCCCTAAGTAAAATTCTTCGAGTCCAACGATTTTAATTATTAGAATCTAGGTTAATTTGTTTTATTACAATCACAGCATACTAACCCCATAAAGAAAAATGGGTACATCTAAGATGTCAAAGGTTCATTAAAAACGATTTAAAATACAGAATGATTTTAAGTCTTCAACAATTTGGTTAAGCTAAGGCAGCAAAACCCAACGGAAATATTTAGGACCCGCATAGTGCTGGTCATGCCCCGGCCACAAAGGAGTTTCACGACCGAATTCTCTAGGAAAAAGTTACGCGGGTCCCTAAAGGAAGCCCCCAGCCTCCCATTCCTCTGGAGACTGCGGGCGGCGGGGAAGGAGGGTTTTGACCACCGAGGAAGGGAGAGGAGCGCAGACCCCCGGCCTCCGCGCCGCCACCCCCAGCGCGGCCACCGCTCGTGCCGACACATCCCGGGACAGCGGGGCGCACCGACTCCGCAAGGTCACCCGGGAAGAGGCGACTTTACATAATCTCCCGCCGCGCCGCCCGGGCACCTGCGCCGCGGCAGCAATGCAGCCGCGGTCCCCTTCCCGCAGCGCGGGCGTGAGGTGCTGCGGGGGCGGCGGGCAGCGCTACCAGGCTGGACGCCTGGGACCCGCGGGCGGGCAGCGCGCACCGAGCCGGGGGCGGGGAACCGAGGGCGGACGCCCAGCCCGGGGATGCCCCGAGCCGCCGCGGCGGGCGAGGCGGGGCGCGGCCGGCGCTGGCGAGGCGCGGTGCCGGGGTGCCCGAGCTGCCGCTGGACGGCCAGCGCCGAGCGCACCCTTTGCAGCTTCGCCCCGGACTGCGCCGGACGCACCTGCCACGCTTCTTACCTGAGTGGCTTTGTGGAACTGCTTCTTGAGCCCGGCCACCGACATGGTGCGGGAGGCCGCGCGAGCGGCTGCGGTGCTGGCGGGAAGCGGCGGCGGAGTGGGACCGGAGGGCCGAGCGGGGCGGCGCGCTCTCCTGGCCGCCGCTGGTCGTGCCGCCGCCGGGGCTGTGGGCGCGAGGGCGCGGAGCCGAGCGGGGCACGGGCTCATGCGGAGAGACACTCTGACGTCAAGGGCGGGTGATGCGGCCTCTTAAAGGGGACGCGGGAAGCCCCGCCCCAAGCGCAGGGACGCCCGGGCAGGTGCCGTGGCGCGCGGTACCTGGGCGCGGGCGCCCGCTGCGGGGCTGTGGCTCAGTGGCACCCGCGGGCGTATCCCTGGTCAGTGGGCCGAGGACGTCCTCCTGTCCCGGGGCTGGTGTTCGTGCCCCCGCGGGCTGCAGACAGGTCGCTGCAGATTGTTAGCCCAGGCACCCGCAGGACTCAGGGGACTTGCTGGGCTTCCAGGTAGCCGCGGCGGCGCTGCCTGCAGACGGCCCTCCTGCCCTTTGAGCCTGGCCTCTCTGCAGCCGCAGCCTGGAAAGGAGTGGCCTTCTATCTGGACTAATGACTAAGTCATTGCTCCTTCTATGCCTTGCCCTGCCTGATTGGTCACAGAAAACGTTTTTCTGCCCTGATTTCTATATCCCTATCTTACTTTAGGGAAAGCCACGCACACTTTTCCCCCGAACTGATACAATTTAACGACTTAAAAAGAAGAACAGGAGCCCTTAAGCCTGGACAGATAAATAGAATTGAAGTCTTACTACAAAAATAGCATTTAATCCTCTGGTTACAGAAATTAAAAAGCCCAAATGTCAACTTGGTTAACACCAAGTTATGGTTAACACCAAATGCTTGTGAATTTAGGGTTTCCGATCTGATAAAAATCAAAATATAATGTGAAAAAGCACGATACTAAGTTATATACAGATACTTCATATGTAACCAAGGAGGTATGGCTGGCTAAAGTGAAACTGATAGAATCAGATGACTTGGGAGCATAGCAGCACTAAATGCCTTCTGTGCTCTGATACTTAAGCACGTCTGATTTTTCTAGGACTGAGGAGCTGGTGGGAAAGAACTTGGATGCTGTCCCCGTATGTGGACCACAGTGATAGGAAGGAGAAGCCAGAAGGACAGAAGTCAAGATGGAAGAAATTGCCAAGCATGGGTAGCAACAACAAGGCAGAATGGGAGTCCTAGAAATACTTTTCATGTCTCCACAATTCCTGCTGCCTGATAGGAACCACAGACCCACCCCCACTCTTCGAGACACTGCTGCTTAGGCACAGGGTGAACATCTGATGCAAAAGGGTTCCATCCATCCGGTAGAGCTACCAGTCATGGTTTTTCTTGATGATGTAAACTGACATACACAAAGGCAGAGTCAAGCAGTGGTGGGCACTGGAGCAGCAGAGCGCATGGACTAGGGACGCAGGCTGCAGAGAGGCAGATGAAAGGAGCTATTCTCCAGTGTGGCAGCCCTTACCACTGTTGATATACCTTTCCCTACCTGGCAGAATTTCACTTTCCAAAACTCTTGTTAAGTGGAGGTATGGTTACAAGTTTTGACTAGAGGGTTAGGAGGAAAAGTGACTGTCACTTCTGCAGAAGTGGCATAAGATGTGGGTATGAGATGCAAAGCTCTCTTTTCCTCTGCCACAATATTCTAGAAAGCTGTGGTATCTCAGCCAGGATCCAGAGTGAGACTTAAAGCAGGCCAGAGTCCCCAGCTGACATTCAATGGACATGTAGCATCGGTAGGAAACCTGAGTAATTTTAATTCACTGAGGCTCTGGTTGTTAGGAATAAACTTTTTTCTCTATGTTTCCAATTTTTAAAAGGTTGCCCAGCTGGGCTCGGTGGCTCATGCCTGTAATCCCAGCACTTTGGGAGGCCACGGCAGGCAGATCACCTGAGGTCAGGAGTTCAAGACCAGCCTGACCAATGTGGAGAAACCCCAGCTCTACTAAAAAGTACAAAATTAGCTGGGTGTGGTGGTGCATGCCTGTAATCCCAGCTACTCCAGAGGCTAAGGCAGGATAATCACTTGAACCCTGGAGACAGAGGTTGCGGTCAGCCTAGATAGCACCATTGCACTCCAGCCTGGGCAACAAAAGCAAAACTCTATCTCAAAAAAAAAAAAAAGTTACCCACTACTTGCATAATAGAAAACAGTATTTTATAGTTAATTTTTACTACCACGTCTCTGATCTGAACAATGGAACATTTCATAAGATAGGCCTTGGTTGAAGCTACCAAAAGATAGAGCAATTGATCTACAAAGTGGAAGGGCTTGGGATAGATATGAGCTCTTCTCTCTAATCATGAAAGATATGAAATGGGGGCCTGAAGTGCCTCCTTGAAACTTTGAATACTTAACTGAGCCCTACATTTTACAAAAGCCAGTTGCTATCTTTCCCTGGTTCTTCATCCACCAACTTAGAAGTCTTATGCTGCTAAACTTCAAAGAAACTACCTTGGGAGAAAAAAAACTATTTAAGGACATTAAATCCTTTACCATTGTGCAGTCTCTCAGGCATCCTCTGCATCTCATCTGATCTGATTTGGCCATGTCTCCACCCAAATCTCATCCCGAATTTTAACTCTCAACAATTCCCACGTGTCCTGAGAGGAACCCAGTGGGAGTGATTGAATGATGGTAGCAGGTCTTTCCTACACTGTTCTTGTGATGATGAATCAGTCTCATGAGATCTGATGTTTTTAAAAACGGGAGTTTCCCTGCACAAGTTCTCTTCTCTTGTCTGCTGCCATGTGAGACATGCCTGTCACCTTCTGCTATGACTGTGAGGCCTCCCCAGCCATGTGGAACTGTGAGTCCAATTTCTTTTGTAAATTGTCCAGTCTCAGGTACCTCCTTATCAACAGCATGAAAATGGACAAATACCTCATCTAAGTCCAGCATTTATATCAAAGCCCACAATTTATGCCTATACAGACCTTTGAGATGTCACCTTTGAAGAAATTTGTTAAGCTCCTCCTACTAGCAAGCATCAGGGTAAGAGATGTTGGGATTGAGAAGGGGAGGTATCAAGACATGAATGGGCTGGACCTTGAATCCCAAGGGGTTTCCAGACCACTAATTTGAAAAAAATAACCTTCCTATGGACATGTACTGTTACTTGAATACAGAGAAACAAATACCCCAGACACTGAACAATTCTAAACATGGATGCTGTCTTTGGTTGCAAAGAATCTTCAACAGAGGCTTTGGAGAGAGATGCAGAAGCACAATGCAGGGAAAGGGAAATCAAAAGTCAGTGAGGAAGACCTTTATTTGGCAAAATGTTGAAATTCAGCATGCTGCCCTACAGTCTCCTGGGATAAAATCAATGTAAAATGTTAAATAAACCTAGATCTTCTCAGGAAAGTTCAAATTAAATGAAACCCTCACAAAACACCACCTCACTAATTGGGCAGTAAATTCATGGTCAGCAATAATCCGATCACATCATTCATGCACTGTTTCTCCTTGCACTATGCTAAAGCTTCTGGCAAATACCAGACCTCTCATTTGCACAGAGCTGCTGCATCCCTGGCACCTTTCAGAGGGTCCCTAGCTTCAAGGAGGTAGAGGAAAAGCAGCAGCATTCATCCTACTGAGCTTCAACCCCTGTCACTGTGCCTCTGGCTCATACAGGGGGCAAACTGCTCCTGACTTCATGTGTAAGTTCATTAAGCATAAGAAACATTGCAAAGCAAAGGCATTTAACTCCAACTTCTTATTTTACAGATGAGAAAACAAAGGTAATGAAAGGAAATGACTTATCCTACTTTTTCTCTAGCCTTTAGCCTCAATTCAAGATAGAGCCTGCAGTCACTGTTAATAAATAGAAGAGGTTTGAATGAACGAATAAAAAAATGAACAATGTATCATTGACGCTGATGCTTTCTTTTAACCACATTGGATCTGATGTTCACCAGATCACGCTATATTAAAATTTCGATTGTGCAAACCCAGACAGTTGTTTCTGGGTGAGTGGCACTTACCATAAGATTTTGTGCCTTTGGACACTACCAGTAGTATTGAGCCCCCACCCAGCCTGGACAGGGCTAACAAGCCCTTTCCTAGAGATGAGAAGTCCAGGGAAAGACCATCTTTGTTTTTTTGCTTCCGGTTTTGTCACCTGCCAGCCACTCTCCAACAGATACATAGACAGAACCTTTTTTTTTTTTTTTTTTTTTTTGCCTCTTTTGAAGTGAAATGTGTGGGTCTTTCTGCTGGGGATGGCCATCTTCCCCAACTTTCCTTCTCTCTAATATAACCCTCCTCCCTCCAAAGTACAGGGGCCTTTCCCTGCAAAAACTTCCTTTCCACTTAGCTAAACCCTTGTAACCCAATCACAGAGGAGTAGAAAGGGCTTAACCAAGTGGATGACTCGTGTTAGACTTTTACATCTGTACCATAGTCATTATTTCATTCCAGGAGATAGTTCCAACTTCCCCACAAAATCCTGCCATCTCCAGCACCCATTTGCAGTGCTTTTCCTTTGAAGTCTTTCCCTATCCTTCTACCCTCATGTCCTCACTTTATTTTTGAAGCCTCAGCCCTGATGAGCTGCATTTGGTCTAATATGTGCTGTAGATATTCATATATAATCTCCAATGCCTACCTCTTTGAGTGCAGAGTTTTTATAATTCTTCCCAGATAATATAAATACATGCTAGATATGGGCTAATTGAAATTTTAAAAGGCTGATTAAATTTTGAAAGCTAGGTCCAGCAGAAGGTCAAAAAGACTGGGAAGCTGACTGAGCAGATTGTTCAGTGGTTATGGTTGCTACCTCATGTGTCAAAGTCTGGTTCAAGCCCGGTTCTCCAGGGTCCTGACGATTCAGTTCCCAATGCCTTTCCCATAAATTCCCCTTTGTTCACTCAGGCAACACTGCTTTATTTTGCTTGCAATAAAAAACGCTGGGTGTTTCATCCTCTTTCCCCTTCCTATAATAATATTCTAATATCAAATCCATTTATTGTTTGGCTAGCAGCTCAGAGATTTAGGCAACTATAGTTCCTGCTAAGCACTGCATTAGGCTTCCTTCTAAGAAAAGGGTGGACAGATTAAGTGACAAGGAATATAGTCTTTTAGCAAAGTGTCAATTCTCCTTGTAAGACATTGACATTCTGATTTACAAATCAAACCTTTTGTTTATTTGATTAGTATGGTTCAGGCTGCCAAGGTCTGAACCTCCCAATATCCTGGGAATTGGCATCCGAATGTTTGTAAATAAATGCCAAGCAACTGGGCTCTGAGACAGTAGTGGCACTCCTGGAATGAGAATAATTGTTAGGGCATCTTTACCATTGGCTTATTTATTCTATGCCTCTCTGGATATTATCACTAAAGATACTGAAGGCATATTGTTAACCCTAAACATGGGATCTGGCTAGTCAGCCTGTTAAAGTACTGTGTTAAGGAGACCAAGTTGTGGCCTGGCACAGTGGCTCACACCTGTAATCCCAGCACGTTGAGAGGCTGAGGCAGGTGGATCGCTAGTTCAAGACCAGCCTGGCT